GTTAAACATTCTCATATGGTGTGTATCTTGATGGCCCTAATGCCTTCCCACCCCTACACCCACCCTCAATAGCTCCACAGGCTCCAGTGCTGTGACTAGTTTTCCTCTTTCCAGGACCCAGTGAATGGAATGGCACTAGATCTCACCAGGTGATGCTCTCTCTGTGTCACCAATAACATATATTTTTAGGCTCCTAAAATCAATCTTATCTTTGGGGTTCTACTGAGTCTGAGCCACAACTCTGACTTTGAACATGGGTTAAGATTAATGCCAAGAAAACCAAATTTCAGAAGGTGTTCAGCTACAAAGATAAAGCTATGCCCATCAGCCCCTCCTGCTGGTGTCAGTTGAGCATCCTTACTTTGTGTGGTTGCCTACACAGGGCCTTTTATTAGAGCAAACCCAGTAATTGTAAATTTTTCACAGGGACAATTTGCCTCGTGGGTGCCATTATCCTTTTTTATTTTGACAACTACCCATTTCTTTATGAACTGGGTTGTGTACAAGAGCTGTGTAGACAGGAGGAACAAAACCTGAAGACATGTCCCATTAGGTTGAAAGGTTTTGAACTCTGTTTTGTAGCTTACCAGAGAGTAACAAATCTATTCTATTCAGGAATTTAATTCACATCTCATTAAGTACCTTGGCAAAATCCAACATTAGCCCTGAAAGGCTAATTTGATTAAAGAATTGATGGACATTACTTCTCTCAGACTAAAGAAGTTAATTTTAATGGAGGTAATAACATCTCCCTGGTAGATTATTATGAGAATGAAATAAACTAGCTAGTATATTCTAGGTGTTTTATACATTATAAAATGCTAAGCAAATGTAAGTAATTATCTTTATTCTTTTGTTACAGCCTCCAGATTCCACCTCTTATTTCTTTCCTTTTCTTTTTCCTACATCTTCCTCAGAGGTCTTAACCTAATTATTTAGCTAAGGGAAACCCTCAGGCCTGGCTTACTGTCACCTCATGTTTTCAACTAGTAAACTGGTTTAATAAACACATTTGGAAAGCTACCATGGGCAAGTCACGGAGTTGTTATACTAATATACAAGATGTTAAAAACAGCACACAGACATAATGTATGCTACATTCCAAAGTGAGGCCACTATGCACACATTTTGGAATATCTGGCTAAGAAACAGACAACCCTTAAACCCTTACTTATACTGGGTGCATAAAAGGGCAGGGAGCTGGAGATTAAAGGCGTATTTGTGGAGCTTTGGAGAGCTATTGGGCACTCAAACCCAAGAAGGCAAAGTAGGAGATGCTACCTCCTATCCCCAAATCAAGAGAGAGAAGCTTCAAATGCAACATCAGGGTTTAAATGTGAGCCTGTGTTTTGCCTGCTTTCGGTTAGGTTCGTTGGATTCGCTGGCAAAATAACTACTCTCTCACACAAATAAACAGCTTCAATCAAATCTTTAATAGAAGGTGATTTAACTTAATTTCAATATACAATCATTAGAGGGAAAGGAATAAGAATATAAACAGAGTATATAACAGAGCATACATCACCGAATCGGGCCGACACCTACTTCCAGATCCAAGCAGCAGCTGGGAAGTCCCGAGTAACAGCAATCTGGAGCCCCAGTTGGGAAGGGTCCAATGTTCGCTGATCCCCGGGAACTGGCCAGATTCCCAAAGCCCAGGAAGCTTCGTGACTTACTCCCTTCTTTATCTGTTGGTTCCCAGGACTTGCTAGCACCGGTTCTGCTGAGCCGCATGTAGTCTAGCAGTTCTGTATGTAGCTTTTTCAGGGTCTTTGTTTAGTCAAAGGCCTATTGTTGCCTCTGAAGCCTGAACAAGACTATTTTACTAGCTTCCCCAATTATAGACAGCCTGGTCTATAATTTTCTCTTGAAAAATTTAAAGGGTAACAGGTAGAATGCCTAGGAATGAGCCAAAAACATAAAATGACTGCATTAGGTACCTGGGGCTCCCATGGTTTGTTAGTGGAAATAGGATCCTATGTGATTCATGCTACAAAAGAGCCAGGATAGTTGCCTGAGGTCGTTTCCAAGTGGACCATCAGGAGTGGCACCCCATTAAAGGCAATGAGGACCATGATAATCAAGCATGCTTAACCTCCACAAGCAAATATCATTTGTGTTTGATTGTGGCTTTGAGGGAAGGAATTGTCTTATTAATTACTTACCTGGATTGGTATGGGCATCACTCCCATGAGACTTGCTATGTGGTACATGAAAGGTGCCTTTGGATGATTTCACACAGACATATTTAATATTATGGAATGAGGACACTTCAAGTATATGTCACACAAGTCATGCACTTAGACCATGTGACATTTATTGATATTTATGCTTAAATCCACTTTGATATTCAGTATGGCAGTGGGAAGTGGGAAGGCAATGTAGACACTGATAAATAAAAGGACAGGAACAATAGATGATTCTGGTACTACTGAAACACATTTTTAAAAGATCTGTCAGTATTTTTGCAACCAGATGTATTAATTATATTTTATTGAACCATGGTGGAAGATAATATATTCTCCCCATCTTAAAAATGAAGAATCTGAAAATAAGCTAAAGAAATTCAAGGTAATGTTTTGTGAGGAAAGGGAAAAGGTTAGTGCAAGGAAACCCATCCATTGAATAAATCTCTGCTTACACTTCCACTGGAATAATTTTCAAAGTTGTGCTGACTATACTGAGATGTAGGAGAAAGAAAACCTCTACCCACAACCTTTCTACCTACCGGGTAACACCTATAAATGTTCTTACATGTGTTCTCCGGGCCCAGGGACAAGCAGTTTTGCTTGTATTCTGCATACCTTCTGTAGGAGACCAGATCCCTCCTAAGACTCAAGAATTACCAAAGCTGCTTGAGTTCACACTCTGGGTCCAAGTGACAAAGGCCCAGCTCAAGCAAAAAGGGGAAATTTTGGGCTCATGTACAAGCATGGATGGAGAGAAGTTGGCCTTCGACACGTGCAGAAACAGGAATTCAAATACCACCAGGATGCCTCCTCCCTACAGTTGCAGTGTGTGTTTCCACTTCTTTCTCTCCAACTGGAGCTCAGCTTGTAGCGTGTGTGTATTGGGGTGGGGGTGGGGGGACAGGATGTTGGTGCCAGAGTCACATTCTTCTTATGGCTTAGTGAACAGGAGGAATCAGAAAGTTGGCTTCTCTCTCATCTCCAGTTTATAAACATAGGATAAATAACCTGAATGGTACATTTTGGGTCACACACCCACCCCCGGGTATAATCACTCTGGACAAAGGAGAGCTACCAAAAGAGGCATATCCTGAGCACAGGCCCAACTCCTTGGCCAGGGGGTGAGTCTGTTATGAGAGGGGCAACACAGATGCTGCATAGACATAACTAGAGCCACTTCAAAATGCAAGCAAACGCAACACCCCCCTGGGAAATTACTGATGTATGTGTGTCCTAAAGGAATGTTACATAAAAGCAAAGACATATTAACATGGGAAATCTGGATAATCAATTTTTATAGACAGATCATTGACTTTGACAAGGAGCAAAGTCGGAATTCATCTAGGTAAACATTTCATTTGTTCTTTCATGAAGGATAATATCTTTTCTTTGGTAATAACAAAAGAAAAAGCAGTAACTCGATTAGAAGTGGTACAGTGTGCTAACTTTATTATTGGCTATTCCACCAATCTCTGTTGTATTATTCCCATGTTTAGGCACGCCATTCCCAAATGAGAAAAAGGACAATCACACCAATCTATATCAATTTGGAATACTTATTGTACATCTTAATGCATTTCTTAACATCCATGGTACTCTTTTTTTTTTTCTTTTTTTTGAGGTATGCGGACCTCTCACTGTTGTGGCCTCTCCCATTGCGGAGCACAGGCTCCGGACGCACAGGCCCAGTGGCCATGGCTCACGGGCCCAGCCGCTCTGCAGCATGTGGGATCCTCCCGGAACGAGGCACGAACCCACGTCCCCCGCATCGGCAGGCGGACTCTCAACCACTGCATCACCAGGGAAGCCCCATCCATGGTACTCTTTAATCAAGAATATAAAGCCATCTACTTAGGATTTGCCACTCAAAGTGAAGAACATTCTTAGAATCACAGAATAAGTAAGTTTACAAATATAGCAACCATCAATATCACACATTTTCAGAACCATAACTCTAACATGGATGTATATCATTTTTCCAGACCTTGCAAATTCTTTAAAAAGTCCATTTTACCAATACTGGGAGAGTATGCTTTCAACCATGCAGCGAGCCAGAGGGACCATTTTATATATGGAGTGTGCTTCTCACAAAAAAACCCTCTCCTTCCTCTGAAATGGCAGAACTGTAGCTATATCTGAAGAGAAAGTGAATTTCAGTGGCAACCATCAGCTAAGAACATGCATAAATTCCTATATCTGGTATGAGAGGAATGGTGTATCGCACTGTACTATGCCTACCTCTGTCCAGAGGACAGCAATCTCGCCTGTCTTCAGGGTGCCTGGACTTTTCTCCCATTTGATACGCAGGATGCTTGGTATACTCCCTGGGGAACTGTTTGATACTGAGGATACCTCTGAGAAGGTCCTTGCAAAACCTAATCCATCATGTTTATTTTCTAAGAATGAAGTTCACTGCTCTTCAAATCCTGAATTTGCTCATCAGTATTTCCCTTAGTTTGATAAAGCTGAATTAAAAGTACTTTGTTCAAGGAACAAGCCTGGGAAGAAGAAATAACACTGTTCTGCAGAAAAAGGCATTCAACATTTAGAAACTTTTCTGAGCAGAAAAAAGAGGCCCTGAAAAGCAAGGATTTTTTTAACTCTGCTGTCACTGTTACTATGGGTTCACGATGAATTACCGCACAGCCCCTTTTGGTCTAAGAGGTGGTGTTGTATAAGAGGCTCACAGTAACATAAAGAAAGACACTTAATGGTCCCTCTGGATACACAAGAATACTGTACTGTTTGAAAAGGAGAAAACTGACTAGGTCAGTTAGGCTTATAGCCCTCTTGCTAAAAGCAACTTTAATCTTTGGCAAAGCACAGATGGTTATTTGGTTTGTTTATAAAGGCAACTTCTTGGTTGGATGTCAGCACTAATAGACCCCATACCCTTCAGTCTCTCCCACAAACCAGGTTACTTCTCCCACACAGAGATGTTCCTGTTTGCCTTCTTGGGCATCTACTTAGTTACAAAAAGTGGGGGGGTTAGGAGGGGTGGGAGAAGGGATGCTCTAGGGAAACAAGATGTAATCACAAAATCAGAGGCTCCAAAAAAAAAGACAGAGGAGGCCGAAGGAAAATCATAACCCTTAAGACAGCATTTCTCCTGATTAAAATTCACACAAATGTTATCTTTCAGGACTAGTACGATGCTCCCCTGGGTATACTCTGGGTGGAGTTCATTTTCTCCCTCATTCTTTTTTTTCTACGTGTCATGATTTAGTTAGGAGGGAAAGTACATCAATGAAACTCTTCCTAAGTAAGGGCCCATCTTGGTACAAACTGCACACAATTTAATGTACATACCACAGAAGATGAAAATAAACCCAATGTGAGCACCAACTGTAAATATGACCTTCTCAGCACTTATAAAGCAAATAAGATAATCATATTTTTTTTCTTTTTGTTTTTCATTAAAATGTCACAGTACGCTTGAGAGAACAAAGTCTACATGGCTGTATAAAGCATTAAGATGATAGAAAACTAGTCAAAAACTGCTTGTTAGATATACAGTTATGATTACTGATGTCCTTTTAATAAAATCCTATGTGGTTAAAATGAAAAACACACAGCTTGGGACAAAAGTCTACTCCACATTTCAAGTTGCGATCTGCTGCATTGGTATGAGTTTTGGTGAAACCTGGTAAAAGAAAGAGAAAAAATAAGCAACTTATGAAAAAACCTCATGGTATAAACATCTCTCCTTTGAATTTCTAAACCTGAGTGATGTAGGCAACAAGCAGCCTTGTCAGGAACCTCACCTGGAGCTTCCTCATTATTTTCCATTTACATTTTATGTATTTAGTAGTTCTCAACCTTCTTGCATTATAGCTCTTAAATTAAGGATCATTGGGCTTCCCTGGTGGTGCAGTGGTTTAGAGTCCGCCTGCCGATGCAGGGGACGTGGGTTCGTGCCTCGGTTCGGGAGGATCCCACATGCCACGGAGCGGCTGGGCCCGTGAGCCATGGCCGCTGAGCCTGCACGTCCGGAGCCTGTGCTCCGCAATGGGATAGGCCACACAGAGAGAGGCCTGCGCTCCACAAAAAAAAAAAAAAAAAAAAAAAAAATTAAGGATCATTAAGACTCGCAACTAGGAGGAGGTGGGGGAGGAGCCACGGGAGACAAATAAAGGGTCCAGAAAACCAAACTCTCTACTGAAAGGACCACTGAGCTCTGACATTGATGAAACAGAGACACAGAGCAAGGCACAAGTTTCAAAATCCTCAAAATAGGTCCAGTCAATTCACAATTTTGTTAAGAGATACTTAATGTAGTCTTTGGATGACAAACTTTTATCAGAAATTTCATAATCAGAGTGGAAATGATATAAAGGCAGTAAAAAGATACCAAATTATTACAAAAAGGAGGTAACAGCATTAAAAATATTAAATATTAACTATAATTATGTTCAATGTACAAAATAGCAAATGTATTCCTAGGAGTCTTGAAGCAGAGAAATATGAGGACAGATCTACATTTAATGGTGAAGGTGGTGGAAGAAGAAACCTAAATATAAGTAGTCTGGCTTAATTTTGACATATTTTTCAAGGTGTAATGGCAGGTACAGATTTCTTCATTTAATCTGGCAAATACCCATTAAGTCCGAGTAACAGGCCCCATGGACAGCACAGTAAGGAACACTAAAATTTAGGTGAGTTTTGAGACCTTCAAGGATGTGGCAATTGAAGTGGGTCTAATTTGCCTTCCAGAATAAACACTTAATATTTTTTTAAATGAATGAATGAGTGACTGGATTAGACAAGCTTCAAAGAACTAGAAGAAAGGTTTCTAATAGAGGATAAGTCAGTATTAAGAATAGAAGAAGGCAATCATTTGGCTTTGATGAAGTTAAATATTTCTAGTTCATTTGTAAATTGTTTATAAAGTCTTCACAGCGTCGAGAGTTAATGCCCCCTTCTCCATTTTTCTACCTAAAGAATGACATGTCCAGAATAAAAAAGGATAGGAATGGCTTGGTACATATCCATATCTTAGGATAAATGAGAGCTCATTCAGACTTGCCAGCTCCAAGAACAGATATATCATAATAGACAAAGTAACAGACATTAATAGACAAAAGTCACAGCCCACATTTGCAGAGATATTCAACTCTACTGAAAAGAATAAAGATATATGGGCTCCGAGTATTTAGAAAGTGTGTCTCACGAACTATCGATTTTCTTTTTTTAAACAACAGAGCATCTGTGGAAATAATTTAATGAAATAAAACTCTTTTTTGACAACAGATCAATAGGTGATTAATGCCATAAAGCACTAATAAGTGCTTTATGGCATTACCTTTAAAAGGAAACTGGACACCTTGATTCTTTAAACTAAACATCTGATCCTTCTCCTTGTTATGTTGGCCCTATTTTCAGCTCTTGGTATCATTTATATCCTCAGTGTGGAACTTGACTTTTATCAGAAAAGAAGATGAATCTTTATGTCGACTGACTTGGCCTATTTTTGTACAGAAAAACATCTACGGGACCTCCATTTTTCATCTGTTCTCTCACAGTCTCATCAACATTGTAAGTCCATGTAAGCTGAAGCAGATTATCCTTCCAAAGTGATCTACAGGCTATGCACAGGACTATATGATTTAAATGCATAAGATAAGCTAACGAGTTGTCTTCCCAGTCCATTGAAATCCAAAGAGTATACTGTTTAATTCTGGTATAATGCCAGTTCATAATAGATATTATTTATTCAACTTGGCAAAGAATGCTCGCAGCTGGCTTCTTTCACATTCCACTGCAAACATATAAATAGGCAGGATTCTTATTTGATGTTTTGCCACTGGTGGTTTAGGTGTATTCCTACCTAGAGAACAAGACCAAGGCCCCTAGGAGGAGGAACTATACCAATTTGTTCTATTTTACTCACATTTCATAGCTCAATATGGGACATACACTTGGTGTTTAATAAATAATCATGGATGACTAATAACCTCTGGAAGTTTATTTTACCACATGATGTTCAACTATGGATTCAATTTATTTAAAAATTTGTAAGTTAAAAAAGAAACAAATATTCTAGTTTAAAAAGGTCCACAGACATATATAGTAAAGAAAAACTTATGTAACTCAAGCATGCATCAGAAAAGAAAGGAATGAATAACCAATTGAATTAACTACTCACTGAAAAAGATACTTTGCAGATAATGGAATTTAAGTGGTGGAATGTCACCTTTCTTTTTTCTTTCTATTTGACCCATCAAATAGCTGGCAGTAACACACTAAGTGATGCAAGTATAGCCCAAAAAATTTAAAGAAATTTAACATTTTCATTAGCTTGTCACAGCTATAATATAAGGAACTGTGCAGTATCACTTTGACTCTTTGAAAATGAATTATTACTGGATATTTATTTGAGAGACAGAATATTTTCAAAATGTGAGTGCCCTGGGAAAAAAATAAACCAAAGGACTCCTTAGTTATAAAAATGTTGGGAGCTAGTAGCATTAAAGAACAACAGAAAAGCATTTCTGCACAGCAACACAATCAAGCATTTGTAGAGGGTGAACATGTGTGTATGGCTCTACCCAGCAACAGTGCTGGGGTGGAGCATTTATTCCCACTTCTCACATTCCCTTCCATGTGGAGGGACACCTATTAGTGTAATACTCTGGCCTCAAGTGTGTCCCTTAAGGGCTCAACTAAATGATGATTTGGGCAGAGGAACTGGGGTGTGTGAAACTCAGCCCAACTCTTCTTCCTCATGGGGATCAGCCTTCTGTAGGCAGCACGTGCTCTATTTTGCTCTCAGTCACATGGAAAGAAGCTCAGCAGTAAAGACTCGCCCTTGTGTAGAAGGCCTATGATTTTCCACAGCTGCCTATAACTGGGAGCTGAAGTCTTCCCCACTTCAGGGACTCGTATCTGGGAAGGCTTTTGTGGCTGTACACCAAAGCCCCAACCTTCATTCTGGGCTTTATAATGATGATGTTTTTAACCTCAACTTGCCCAGCTCCCTTATCTCTCTCAATAGATTCGGAACTCAGTCCCCAAGAAATATAGAGGGAAGTCCCTTTCTTTACAACAACTGCATTTTGAAGGAGAGTGATGGTATGGAACAAGATCTCTGTCCATTATGGGTTGGCTTCTCTTGCTGTGAACTACTCCTGACCGGAATTTTATTTTAGAAGTGTGATGAAGGTTCCAGAAATATAGTCAATATCTGCATTTTTTTTTTTTTTTTTTACAAAATTTCCACAGCTTCCTTTGGACTTCTAAATATAACATGACCCTTAAGAGAGTTTCCTCCTAATTGAAAAGAAAACTCTTTTCAGCTGGCATTATGGTTACTACGAATTTTTTAAGAAGCTATTTCAGGTGATACCTCAGGGACACCTTTTCCTTTCACATTTTTTGTTGTTTTTGTTCATTGCACTGTGGCACACAGGAAAGTCTTAGTGATTCTTTTTTTTTTTAATGCCCAAACAGTTCCTTATAACTATTATTTTTAATACCCTGAAACCACAATTTTGTCATGCCCTGTTATCTGATGCTGTCATATCTTGTCTTTTTCTTTGAAATTCTCAGGATTTTCTCAATCAGCTTATATCCACATTCTGTATCCTTTGTCCATACACTTGCCCATATTCTTAGGTATAGAGGACCTTTACCAACACATTTTCACAATTACTTTGACCTAGGTTTTTACTTTTTTTTCTTTATGCAACAACCTGTCTAACTATTCTCTTCCAGAATGTTCACTTCTCAGTATACAGTGAAGGCTGAGAAACAGAAATCGTTTCTCAAACAGAAATCTTGAGCAAGTTGTAATGTAGTCAGATATAGAGTAAAATGCTACCTATGCAGTAATAATCTTATGAGATATCTTCTGAATTATGACATGGAATACCTCTGAATTATCAAATAAAGAGATGTTATCCCAATGTACTTTTATTATTAAATGTATCTTACTGATAACCCAGCTATTAGGCAAAACATCTTATTAATTAGAACACTCCGGACCCTAGTCTTACAAAGATTTTGATACACATGACTTCGTCTGCCAGGGTCTAAAGAGATGCCATTGATCATCATATCCTCAAAATCCAGTTCTTCTGTCAAGATGGTTTAGCTGATACTACACCTTTTCAGGGCAACACTGACATAAAAATTAACATTTCATTTCAACAGCCTAATTTGGAGGAAACAAGATTACATGTCAATGTCAAAAGAGAAGGAGGGGTGGTACTGTGCTAAAAGAGGGGCCACAGAGATATTTTTCAATGTATCAAGACGTGGAAACTAGCACTTTAAGAAAAAGCAAAAACAGTAAAAATACATCTTTTTCATTCCTGATTTACCTACATGACTAAAAAAAAACCCAAACCTGATAACAATGAGGATCTTTTTTGCAGTTCCCTTTTGCAGCAGAGATTCGAACATTCTATAGATCTCAAAAATGCTATCTGCTGAAGAAAAGACTAACTTATCCACATAGGGAAAAAATATAAAGAATAGCTAATTAAGTAAGAAGAACTGTTTGCTTTTATTACTGGAGTAAGGAATTCTAAACAGTTAAACTATAAACAAATCCCATTTTTTACCCCCTGGGGTCATTGACAAGTTAATTAAAGATGAGCTTTTCATGTAAGGTATTGTTGGAAAGCTTCTTTTTTTCCAAAGGGAAATTCAGAAAAAGGTTAATAGACAAAGACCTTCATATAATACCAGAAACAATTATATGTGGATAATGAATTATGCAGCAAAATTGTTTTTACAGACATTTGTTACGCACTGACAGGTACCAGCCAAGCATGTAGTACCTAAGGAAGAAATGTATGAAATACATGCATGATTTATCAAGTAAGTTTTGTTAAATTACCTTCTCCAGGATGGGTAGCTGCAATATTTCTTCTCATTATAAATATATTTCATTTTAACACATAGAGCTGTTCTTAAAAAGTTATGTGAGAAGTAAAGTCTATTTCTTCATTTTCTCAGACACATTTCGACTTTACATTTGATTAACTTCAAATGGACTGAGCTGTCCTCTCGACCCCCATTAGGTAGGTGATTGCTGATTCATAAACAAGCACTTATTATATTAAAGGGCGATTATTTATATTACAGTATTATTCTCTTAGTTTTAAAAAGGGATTTGGAGATTTCTTAAGTGGATACTCCCCTGATGTTCTTATCTGCTTTGTAAGTCAGAGTTTTAATGCACTAAGCTTTTCTTCAAATACAGAGAACACCTATTTTGTGACTATAAATCTGGTGGTGTCAAAAGCCCGACATCCTAATATCTCCAAGGGATGGAATAATCAGGCAAAGAAGTTAATCAAAGAGAAAGTCATAAGCCATAGATGGGTTTGAAAATAAGGAAGTACCGTTTCTCTGAGTGTGGCTCGCATTTTTTAGTTAATTAAGTTTGGCCACGGCTGATACGTAACCCAAGAACAGAGGATTGCAAGGGACTTGACAGAAAGTAGCTACGAGTTCAAGCTCAACCTGCTGTTTCCAGCAGCTCCTGGTGTTTCCTCCCCCTTCTGACTCCTGAGCCAAACCCTGGCCCATGAGCCAGAGCCTGTTCCTGCTGCCACCTGCTCTCAGTGGAGGCACCCTTCCTTCCACTTCTGTTCTCTGCTAAGGTCAACTCCAAAAATGATCACAAATTAATGGTTCATGTCGCATAAACACCCATTAATCAAGCTCAGGATATAGGACAAGTGGCTGGATTTGTTCACAGAAACACTTACTGCGAAATTGCACCCAGTGCTCTTTTTTATGTCATCCACTGTCAGGCCTTCCCAGAGTTCAATCAGAGTCAGGCCTTTCTTGTTGTCCACGTCAAATACGGCCTGTAGAAGTCAAGAAAATGACAACGACAATTTCTATTACGGTAATTATTTTATAGCACAAAACAGAAATCACCTCTCAAGTTCTTTAAGGAGAGAAAAGACTCAGGATAAAAGACTGAAAATCAGCAAGGAAAAAATGTAAACTGTAACTGCTACATTTTGGTGAGAACAAATGCCAACTCCCTAAATGGCAGTTAGCTGGAGAGCTCTGCTGATGCCAGAAAATAAATGAGTGTTGACTATTGATGGCATTTGCTACTATAATAAACAGGTTTTTCTAAACTTTCTTTTTGTTAGATCTAACACTTTGGGTCAAAATTTCAATTTGATGATTAATAATGATTTGAACAAAGAAAAGAATGAAGAAAAGCAGGGAGGGAGGAGGTAATTGGAAGGTGAAAGCACAGGGATGATGGGGGGAAAGCTGATCAATGCTTCTGGGTAAACTACAGGAAACAAAAGAAGGTGCTCTGAAATAGCTAGGAGTAATTATAAAGGGATAGCTGGCCCTGAAAGACCACCCCCATCCCCAGGTAAATAGTAAAGCTTTCCCTTTAAGTCCTATGAAAACGCATAGATCCAAAAGTAGAGCATGAGAATCTCCCTCTGGTATGGAAATCAAATGAAGATGCTTATGTGTAGGACAGCATGAGAAGGCTCACCTCACCCTAAATATTGCGTTACAACATTGTGGTTGGTAACACTAGGTGATGGTAGTGCTAACTGGTATAGCTTGACCCAAGCAACCTGTCATGTCTGACATAGAACGCACATGGTCACGCTCGGTAATAATGACAACTTGAGTGGAAGGGACCAACAAAATCATGTAATATAACCTCCCACCCAAGAATTCTTTAAAACATTCTTCTGAGATGGTCGCTGGGGCTCTGTTTAGAAACTTCCAGTGGTAGGAGGCTCACTGTCTCAAGGCAGATTGCCTGTTGATAGGAAGCTCTAACTGCAAGAGCCAACACTGCTTCCCTATGACTTTCACTCACGGGCTCCACAGTAAGTTGTCCTCCCATGCAACAGGCACTGTTCCCTCTTTCAGTTGTCATGGTTAGTCTTCCTCAGACTTAAATATTCTTCTTTCTAGATCGCTCCTCTCCTCTGGGTTTACCTTAAATTCAACTATTATTTTCAGGCTTAGAATCTTTATTTTCAGCTAGCTTGGAAGTCAAACCCTAAATTGTCACTTTTAAACACACTCCTGGTTAGGAGGCTATTAAGAAGACACAGCAGTGTGTACTCCAATATAAAATTAAAAAATTTTTTTAAATAAAAATAAAAAAGAAGACACAGCAACATACAGAGCAAAGAACTCTGGCTTTCAAGGTGGACTGGAATTCCAGCTCTGCCAACACTAGCTATGCAATCTTTGGTGAACCTGTCTTCACATGTGTATATGGATATCAAACAAACCTACTTCCCAAGATTTTTATACAGGACAAATATAATAACAAACCTACTCTGAGCAGCTGGCCTCATGCCTGGGACATACAGCAAGGGCACCATAGAGGCATATGCTTTTCCTTAACAGCTTAACTTACTGTCACTTGTGCGTGAACCCAAATCAAAGCCCCCAAATGCTTATTTGTATCCAGTTAATTGATATTTCTCCTCAGGAGGAAAACATCAAGGGGACCAGTGATACTTGCCTTCTCTGTTTGATGAATTCATAGATAACCTGGTTGATTTTACTGGAAAAGATTATTTAAATTTAGGAGGAAATATTTCAGCAAACTTTTTTGTTTGCACATTTTTATGTTCCTAAAGAAACGTTTTTTAGCAGAAATGTATTTTGAGGGGGAAAAAATGATCATCTAGGAATGTTCGTATGCTTCAGTACATTATTCAATTCCCAAATGACAATTACAAATTTAAAAAAAAATTTTTTTTATGCAGTACGCGGGCCTCTCACTGTTGTGGCCTCTCCCGTTGCGGAGCACAGGCTCCGGACGTGCAGGCTCAGCGGCCATGGCTCACGGGCCTAGCCGCTCCGCGGCATGTGGGGTCTTCCCGGACCGGGGCACGAACCCATTTCCCCTGCATCAGCTGGCGGACTCTCAACCACTGCGCCACCAGGAAAGTCCACAAATTTTTTTTTTAATTGGACACTTTTCCTTTGCAGAAAGTGTGTCTGGAGCATCATTCATACTGATTTTCTTTCCCCTGTATTATGAACAACTACAAATTTATCAAAATGAAACAAATAAGGGAAAAAGAGCCTTTGGGGTGTGTTATTAAGAACAGGCAGGAAAAGGATGTGGGGAGAAGACAACTTTGGTATCATGAATATAAGACTTCAGTGACTGAGAAGATAAAATCTATAGCAAATGACTTACTGCTTTTAAAAACCTTTAATTAACATCTTTACCAATCCCTAATTAGCTCTCAAGGTCAAGGTCCCTAATTTCCTCTCAAGGAAAACTAAGCATCTATGATTTTAAAAATGGGAAATTTACTTTTGAAATATTTAGGAAGATTTCCATTTAGTGGTATAAAGTGTAAACAAAAACTTGAGAAAAATGGACACTAAAACCTAAAAGCTACAATCAATTCTTCAACTGCCAAGAATAATATTTCGACTACTCTGTTTTACAGACGATACTTTTATTATTTTTTCACCACCATAACAGGCTGCATTACGGATAAAGCAGTCAGTCACAGCCCAAGTGCTGGTGAGGAAGGCCTCTTTCATCACATCATTCTAGCAACACGAAACCAAGAAATCAGGGTCATAACATCTCCAAAGTCTCTTTCAAATGGCAGGCAACTAATGGAATTTTCCTTAAGAGCTGAAAATGGAATTCTAGTCCCATATCACTCTGGCAGAGTGTCCAGAGTCAATGCCCTTAATGCACTGCAAAATTTATTAAACACCTACCGGATACAGCACAGGGGTAAACGCACCACTCCTTTCCCTGGGGCACTGGAAGTTCCATATGTAGCTGCCTTTCACTTTACTCCTTTTTGCTACACAACACCGTCTGCAGTTAAGGCTCCAATTATCCCCGTCTGCTAATGAGTTCACACATCCATTCCAGTGATGACTTCTCTGAGCTCCAGGTGCCCATGGATGTTCCGGATGTTAACTTACTCCAGAATATCAAATTGAGTATGTTCAAATGGCACCTATTCTTTTCTTGCCTCCCCTTGCTCCTCCCTTTCTCTTCCTACAGACCCAGCCTTCATTAAGGATACAACAGGTCGACCACGCCTCTAGCCAGAAAATTCAGGAATCACCTCTGCCTTAGCAACCACATCCCATTCATCATCGAGTTAGGTTGAGTCCATCTCCTAAATCTCTTTGAAATCTCTTTCTGCCTTGTGGTTAAGGACCTTGATATTTCTGGCCAAGATAACTGAAGGAGTCTCATCTCTTCTCCCCCTACTCTACATAAAAGCCACAGAGCTCTTTGTAAAATGCAAATCTAATCAATGGTGTCCCCAACTATTAAAAATCATTGAAGGGCTCCCAAGTGCCTTCCAGAAAAAACCCAAATTTCTTAACAAGACATTCACATTCCTTTATAATTTGGTCCCTTACTGGTTTTTCACCTTCAGCCTTCAGAATCTCTGGCCATGCCCTCACGCCACATTATCCCACTCACAGGTCCTTGAGTAAACTCTGTTTTCTTAATTCCTCCAGGACCCTGCCAACGTTTCTTCCCTTTGCCTAGAAGGGCCTCTTTGGTCTTACTCTCACTTATTAAACTACTGATCTTTCAAGACTCCTCACTCAATCTATTAATTTTCTCATTGAGAAAAGTACAGTATTTATTCAACAGGCTTTCACTGTGTATGGGTCAAGTATTATCCTAAGTGTTGGACAAATAGTGATGAGTGAGACAGGCAGAGAGCTCAAAGGTTATTTCAATACAGTGATCAGTGCTGAGTTAGGGTACTAAGACTCACGGAAGCACCCAGAAGACTTGGGGAGGGATAGGGAAGACTTGCCAGCGAAGAAATTACATAGCTGAGACATAAAAGAGGAACAGGAATTAGCCAGACGGTTGGGGTGGGGAGAGCATGCCAGGGAGAAAGACAGGATGTGCCAAGTCCCAGAGGAGCATGGTGGGGCGAGGGCAGGGGATGCAACATAGTGCACAACATTCAGCATGGCTGAAGTAGGGAGAATGTTAAGGCAAAATGAGAGAAGCTGAGACTTGGGGAGAAAAGATCCAGACTGAGAAAAAGTTAATATTTGACACCACTCTCCCCAGGCTGTTAAGCAGCCTTCCTCTATGTTCTCAACTCAGCATTTGGCATGTCTCTCTCTTATGGACTTTATCACTGTACCTCTAACAGGCTGGTACTGTTGCTGTCTACTCTCCTCAAACGTGCTCCTTGGTGGCAAAGACTGTCCTCCTTTCTGTATCCACTGCTGGCAATAGTCGGCTTCAGAGAAGGAGCTCAAAAATGCTTATTAAGTGGATAAATGTATGAAACAACAATGTGGATGGAAAGGGTAGAAGATTTTTTTAAATGGCAGTAAAGTTAAGTAATGTATGAGTAATGTCAAGTAATGTATGAGTAATGTCAAGTAATGTATGAGTAATGATGTCATGAGAAAATGTAGGTATTAGATGGTAAGTGCCAAAATGAAAGATGGACCACTCTAAAGATGAAGTTGTGAGTGCTAAGCTATCTGAAGCCTCTTCATGATGAAGATGGAAATTGCATTAGACTTAAAGGATGGACAGGATTTGGACAGGTAGAGTTGAGTGGGAGTTGTTGCAAGTAGAAGCACTAAACTGGTAAGAACAAGGTCAGGGCATACGTGGAGCGGGGATGTAGGGAGAGGGCTTACCTGGGGGAAGAGGGAGATCGGGGGTAAAATGTTGCTGGAATTATCCTTAGAAGCTGTACCACCTTACTTTACTAAAGAAAACAGGATCAAGGACTGTCTTGTCTTTGATTTCAAAGTAATGGATTCTTTTCAACAAGTCCTGTCCATGGTTTTGGAGGGGGTTACGAAATGATAAGACTCAAGGAATAAATGGTGAGATAAAATATTCTGCACTTTTATCCACTTTTTCTTCTCTACACGTCATCTTTATGGATTCCACATAAACAACCCTAGAGGAAGGCACCATTTAGGACAGAACTCTCCTAAAATGTGGCTTCTGAAAAGTATTACGAGCCTTCTAACCTACTTCAAAAGGCTGCTTTAGGGTGCTTCATACCATACCCGAATGAGGGTTCTAAACCAGATTAATGCCAAAAGGAACAGCATCATTAAGAGAAAACAAAGAAACAAACGCTGATCTAGAGAATTCTGTTTTGTGGTTCATCAAGATACTGAATCAGGAAAATGACACCCTTCTAGCTCACTTATGAGAACTATGTCATTCCAACATCTTAGGTTCAAATCTGGGTCAGAAAGGCGACTATAGCAACCACCAGTGATGTTTCTCTCTGATCTGAGCAGTTTCAGTTGTACCACTAACCAATATTTTCTATTTAGGAAGATAAAATCTAGAGGTGCACTAAAATGGCTGGTGCGTTCTAAAGTCTGCTTTATAAAAGAGGGCCGAAAGCATGCAAGAACCAAAGAATAGATTTCTTGGTTCACTGTGGGGCCTGTATTGCAATTTGCACCTAAATGATTAAAACCTAATTTTTACTGAGTTTCCTAAAGTGAGATTCAACAATTTGTACTTGTGATTTGGGAAAGCAAAGAAGAAACGTAGTCTTAACTTTGTATATATCATCCATTTTAATAGCCCAAGTATAAGGATCAATACAACTTTTATTATATCACACTGTCAAAGTTACCAAGGACAGTATTTCAATTCTGTGTATGTATATGCATATTTCCAGAGAATTTCACATTAAGAATTCTACATCTAGAAACATTAAATTGATGAATCTTCCTATTAGGTCTACCCATGGATTAAATTAATCATATGACTACCAATATAACACACTTTTAGAAGGTAACAAAAAAGTTCTAAAATGCTTATTAAAAAAAAAAGGTGGTAGACATTTAGAGGAAATAAAAGACAAAGGCACTGTACCTTTTCAGTAATGATGCGGTTGACACACTGTTTTCCTGTCAGTGGTAATGTACATTTCTCCATGATTTTATGTGCATTTCCCTGTTTGGAAAAAGAAACATTAAAAAGAGTAATTACGAACCAATTCTTATTTAGAATTGGTATAACACAGGACAAACAGGAACTGTCAGATAAATCGTCTCCTAAGTACAGTCTGTTTGAAATCTTTGCCCAGTCATGCTTTTACTTTCTTTCTGGAGGCAGCTTGTATCCCTAAGATAATTTAGGGAGAGTGCCAAATGAATAGCCAAAGGCATAACTGATTTAGTTGGGAAACATCCTGCCACAGATCTGACCCCTCAAGCCTCAGCCCTTAGATCATATGATGGAGAAATTTCACTTCTAGCATCCTGCTAATTTTTCTCTTCCAGGGAATGGTCTCCTTGACAAATGACCTATTATTTACCAAGGGTAGGAAGCATACACAGAATGCAAATGCATAATATACCTTTTAAAAAAAGTTTTAATTTTATTTGTTAAAAACATATTCACAGAAAACAGCAGTTCTTGCCTCCCTTCTGTATGCTTAGACCTGCTCTGAACAGAAATCAAAATTCAATTTTTTAGCACTTACTTATGTACTATTTTACATTTTCTTCCTACCTCTGCATTTAAAATATTTTTTAATTTTATAATAAATTTTACTTTATTTTCCATTATGGTTTATTACTGCATATTGAAATATAGTTCCCTGAGCTATACAATAGGACCTTGTTGTTTATCCACCCTATATGTAATAGTTTGCATCTGCTAGTCCCAAACTCCCAATCCAACCCTCCCCTGCCCACCCCCCTTGGCAACCACAAGTCTGTTCTCTATGCCTGTGAGTCTGCTTCTGTTTTATAGACAAGTTCATTTATGTCATACTTTAGATTCCATATATAAGTGATATCATATGGTATTTGTCTTTCTCTTTTGACTTACTTCACTTAGTATCATAATCTCTAGGTCCAGCCATGTAGCTACAAATGGCATTATTTCATTCTTCTTTTCTGAGTAATACCTTGGCAACCACAAGTCTGTTCTCTATGCCTGTGAGTCTGCTTCTGTTTTATAGACAAGTTCATTTATGTCATACTTTAGATTCCATATATAAGTGATATCATATGGTATTTGTCTTTCTCTTTTGACTTACTTCACTTAGTATCATAATCTCTAGGTCCAGCCATGTAGCTACAAATGGCATTATTTCATTCTTCTTTTTATGGCTGAGTAATATTCCTGTGTGTGTGTGTGTGTGTGTGTGTGTGTGTGTGTGTGTATGTGTATACTCCACACCTTCCTTATCCATTCATACACACCCACACCCACATCATCTTTATCGATTCATCTGATGATGGACATATAGGTTGCTTCCATGTCTTGGCTGTTGTAAACAGTGCTGCTATGAACATAGGTGTGCATGTATCTTTCGAATTAGTTTTGCCTGGATATATGCCCAGGAGTGGGACTGCTGAATCATATGGCAATTCTACTTTTAGTTTTTTGAGGAACCTTCATACTGTTCTCCATAGTGGCTGCACCAATTTACACCAACAGTGTAGGAGGGTTCCCTTTTCTCCACACCATCTCCAGCATTTGATGGCCATTCTGATTAGTGTAAGGTGATACCTCATTGCAGTTTTGATTTGCATTTCTCTAATAATTAGCAATGTTGAGCATCTTTTCATGTGCCTATTGGCCATCTGAGTGTCTTCCTTGGAAAAATGTCTATTTAGGTCTTCTGCCCATTTTTTGACTGGGTTGTTTGTATTTTTGTTATTGAGTTGTATGAGTTGTTTGTATATTTTGGAAATTAAACCCTTGTGGGTCTTATTGTTTGTAAATATTTTCTCCCAGCCTGAAGATTGTCTTTTCATTCTGTTTAAGGTTTCCTTTGCTGTACAAAAGCTTATAAGTTTGATCAGCTCCCATTTGTTTAGTTTTGCTTTATTTCTATTGCCTTGGGAAACTGACCTAAGAAAACGTTGCTAGGATTTATGTTCTCTTCTAGGAGTTTTACGCTGTCGTGTCATATATTTAAGTCTTTAAGCCACTGTGAGTTTATTTTTGCGTGTGGTGTGAGGGTGTGTTCTAACTTCATTCATTTACATGTGGCTGTCTAACCTTTCCAATATCACTTGCTAAGGAGATGGTCTTTTCTCCATTGTATATTCTTGTCTCCTCTGTCAAAGATTAATTGACCACAGGTGTGTGGGTTTATTTCTGGGCTCTGTATTCTGTTCCATTGAGCCTCTCCATTTTTTAATACTATGTTGATCAGACTATTTATTTCCTAATTAACCAGCTTTAGATATTATCTACTAACTTCTTATTGGGGTGTATGAAGACTTAACTCTCTTACAAACCCCCATCCTTCATTATGTTCAGTTCTCCCAGCATAGCTATATCACAATTTGTAGGTAACTCAATAGTCAGAATTTACACCTGCTGACAAAACGGCTATGTAAAATGGCTCATTGCTGGGCCAGGCAGTGTAGAAAACCATGATTATTTTCACTTTCTTATATAGTGATTTGCTTTCCCTGGAATTTGTCTGAGCCTCAGTTTGCTCATTGGTAAAATGTGTGCATTGGTCTATAGTCACATTTTGTCAAAGTTTCCTTTAGCCACGGTACCCTTTTTTCAAACATAAAAGAGGGATTGAGAGTGGAAAGCAAGCTTTCACCCATTAACCCCCTTCCCCCACCCCCTACCACCCCCCAGTATAGAGGTGGTCTCTGGGTCACATCTATGGAGCACAGTGGAAACATTAGCTCTGATGATTTGATCTTCAGATCATTTTCTTCTGATTATGATTCAGCTCCTTTCTAAGTATCAAGCACCAGGAGCCTAAGTTAATATTTCCCTTGAGGCTGAAGGCTGATTTATCACATTTTAGATCTTCTATTAAAAATGGTAAAAATGCTTCTATTGCTTCCTTCTTGGATATGAAAGCACCACATGTGATGTCATCATCATCTTTAGCCATCTCAATGTTTTACCTTCTGAAATATGCACCACTACCTGGTTTACCTCTCTCTCAAAACTGCTGCCATACCAAGTATGATCAGAGGCAAGAGATTTCAAATAACTGGGCTTAATTAAGATTTTACTGCTTGTAATAATCTGTCAACTCACCAACATACTAGTAATTAAGAGGTTTTAGTATACTTAACCCAGTGTATGGCATAAAAGATACTCAACATTTTTTGAATGAATGAATGGGAAGAAAAAAGGAAGTCTATTGGGAATCTTGGGTGGATTTCAAAAGAAGACAAATTCTATTACCTTAATTTAGTCAAAAGTAGTGCTAAATACACATAGAGTAGATAGATGTTATACCTTTAACAAGATATATGCTTCTGGGTCTTTGTAAGACAATTTATAGCTGTAGAAATGAAACCTCATTTTTGCTTCATTTTTAATGATCCATTTTCATTCCCAGATTTCAAAGAAAGCTTGCACGTGTCACAGTAGCTTAACTAAAGAGCTGAAATTAACGATGAACATTCGAACTTCAATAGTTGTCAGGACTCCTTACACTTAATATAACTCAAATAAGACATGTCACAATGAATTCCAGGTTTGCCTGCGAACAAAGTGAACAATCTGTGGGCCTCCAAAGAACATTTTCTGCAGGGAGCTCTTACTTTGTTCTCATTATTTGAGCAAGATCTACACCTGGTGTGAAAGCAGCCACTTGGATTTCAATGAACAACGAACGCTGGTTTAGGATCAAGCGTGTATTTCAACTGACGGAATTAACTGTGCCCTACCAACAGAGACCTTTTAGAGACCATTTTCCATGTAAACAGTATAGCTCAGTGGTTCAGAGTGGAGCCAAAGGACCTGAGTGCAAAGCCTAACTCTACTCCACACTAGCTGGGCAAGGTTCCTGTGTCTGTGCTTATCCATCGCTTTACCTCAGGCGTTATTGTAAGTGTCCAGTACTTAGCAGGTGCTCAGTAAGTTTGCGCTGTTTTTATAACCTATATTTAACATTCCTACAATCTACCAGGGAATTCTTCAGGAGCTCTTAAGTTCCTAAACGAAACTGGACATAGAATTACACAGAAAATGGCCTAAACAGAATTCCTGAGAGCCACAAAACTAATGAAACGGCAACACATATTTGGGGGCAAACCATATGGCTGGCATAGGAAGCTGGCACCAAGAGTATTCTTGCAGTGAGAACAGTGTAGCTAGATGACTCCATTTACTCTGAGCTTCAAGACATAACACAGATCAAGGATAAAGAGAAAATGGGATGCAAAGAGAGATTAAAGAACGTCACAATTTCAGTATCCAACAATAGGTTAGCTATGAAGCCAAAATATGACTAACGCCCACTTGAGCACTCTATTCTAACCACGCCAGGCTGAGCCTTACCAAGTTCTATGATTCACAAAGGAGGAACAATCACTGAGTTTTTAGCATTTAAAAATAAATCCTGAAAAAGAGATGCAGTGTAGTGTGGTAGCAAAGAACACTATGTTAGGAGTCCAAAGACCCGGTTTTGAATCTTAACTCTGCCACTTAATAGTCATTTGGTCCCTTAAATTCTTTGTGCTGTAGTTTTCTGTTCGATTGCCTTGTCTTCCTCTGATCACGGTAGGAAGAAATGTTCTGCAAGTGCAGTAAAGTAGGAGAGGTTGAATCTACATTCGAATATTTTGGGTGAGTGGGGTCTTGTTCATCCTCATCATTCTGCTGCTTTCTTTCTCCACGAAGAAAGGTCAGAAAAGTCAGAGGAACGGACACCAAGTGTAGCATTAAAAATTCTCTGACTGGACCCGAGGGCTCCTGATTTTGATATTTCCTTATTTCCTACTTTCATCATAACCTTGGTGAATAGCTAAATCTCTTTCCTCCATCTGCTTCTCCAGCTTCTCTTTTCCCCAGTGCATCACTTACAGGCCTCCTGCAAAATCTAGGAATCCACCGTTTTTATTTTGTATGACCGAAAGCGTTAATACTTTCTATTACTTGCTTCATGGTGATCTCTTTCTAATTCATTAGATATCTGTGTGCAATTTATTACTAAATTCTTCAGTAATAAA